GTGAGTTCAATTCCCACTAAGGATGGTTAGTGCGTGTTTAACCTTTATGGTTAAGACTCCACATGTCTGCATATAAAAGTGTGTACTTATTTTAGGTTCGCGCAAAGACTAAGTTAGAGTGTTCCACATACATTAGGATGGGCCGGTAGCTTTAAAGTTAGGTTTAGTGTATTGTGTGGCCCGCAAGGCAGTTGCGCGTGGGCCCACATAATTGTGTGCTAGCGCGCCTAATATTAAGACACTTATTTCTGCATTTGCACACACAAGCACACATCACTTCTTCCTCTACCCTTCCTATATCCTATCGGTGATGACCCAAACATTGAAGACTACGCTAAGCCTTCCCGTTTTGACGGCACCAAATACCGTCATGGGATACAAGATGCAGATGTACCTCTTGTCTCGAGGACTATAGATTTTCGTCAATGGCAGCGTGCAAGCCGTCGACGACGTTGGCAGCAGCAAGCGCATGCGGCAATTGTGCTCAACCTGGCCGACAACCAGCTTCAGCACGTAATCAGCGCCGGCAGCGCAGCTGAAGTGTGGATGATGCTACGTCGCATTCTCGAAGGCCAAGATGTGGCGAATCGCATGTGGCTCAAAGAGAAATTCGCCACGCTTACTTATGGTGGTGGCTTGATGGAGGTGCACGTTGGTGATCTCGAGGCGCTGGTGATGCGCCTGGACAGCGCGGGGTGCGCTGACGCCCAAAAAGATTTATGTGCAACATTGCTGCGCAGCCTGCCAAGTTCGTACGACGGTTTTGTGCAGGCGAACCGTATGTCGACGGACAAGTTCATTTTTACAGACATCGTTAATAAATTGTTCGCGGAGGAAGCTCGTTAACACAAGCTGGTCATCAAGGAGGAGCGCACCGCGATGCTGGCCGGCCTTGCCAAGAATAAAGACAAAGTAAAGAAAAGAGGCGGGTGCTGGAGATGTGGTAGTGTCGGACACTACCAGCGCGATTGTCGAAAAGGCTTTGAACAAAAGAACGAGTCTCATGTTGCGTTCTGTGCGCTGGCTAGTGAGAGCGGCTCTGATGGGGCTCGAACCCAAGCAAGTTGCGCTGACATGGGATCCATAACCCACTGCGCCAACATGGCATTCAACAATTTTAGTACACGTTTCTAAAGCGGAGCATCCAATCGTATGTGCGGCGCACGCGATATGTTTGTCGACTATGAACATGTTAGTGCGCCAATGTACATAACGGTCACCAAAGCCGGAATCAAGATGGTCGTTGCCGGAAGAGGTACTGTTGCACTCAATATGCGTGTAGGTAAGCGCGTGTTCGCCACCCGACACTAAAACACGTTACATGCACCAGAGCTCACGCGGAGCGTGTTTTCGGCGTCATCAGCATTGGAAAAGGGAATGTCGATCGAAATGGCTGGTTCCGGTTGTATTATCAAGCATACGGTACGGTAGTGGCTATGGGTACCAAACGTGGTAAGCTGATCACACTTGATATTAAAGATGCACCAGAGTGTTATCTGGCCGCTAGCGGTGAGCTTTGGCATCGCCGGCTCGGTCATGCGTCGTGCCACGCAGTCAATAAACCTATTCGCTCGGAGCACTGGGATCCAAGACAAAAGTGTGCGATACGGCGGGAATTTGCAGGGTCTGCGCATTGGCAAAGCAGACGCGCGCCTCATTCCCACAACACGAGGGGGGGAAAGCATTAAGGAGCAATACGAGCGGCGTGTTGGGGTCGTGTGCTCGGACGTCGCCGGGCCGATAACCCCATCGTCTGTGTCACGATCTCGTTACTACGTCACGTTCACTGTAATGTCGGCGCGATTCCCGATGGTCTATCCGATGCGCGCCAAGTCCGAAGTCCTAGAGCACTTTAGCAGCTTTCGGACTTACATCGAGGCATCGTCAGACACACGCGTTAATATTTTACGAAGTGACAACGGCGGCGAGTTTACCAGCAAAGATTTGCAAACGTACTGTGAGAAGACTGGAGTAGGACAGCAGCTCACGGCTCCGTACAACCCGGAGCAAAATGGAATGAGTGATCGCCTCAACCGCACTTTGGTCGAGATGGCGCGCTGAATGCTAAAGGAAAGTGGACTTGGAAAACAATTCTGGTCGGAAGCTGTGGTGACTCTCAGAAAGAAACATTTCACAGCTATGTTTTCAAGCTTGCTGCGCTTCGACCTGGGCACGTGCGCATACGCTACACATACGAAAATTCTCATCCACTCGTACTGCGGCTTTCGCTTGTACAGTTGTTCATAGGGGGGGGTGATCTGACCAGCCGATGGGATAGTATGGCGAACATCTGCGGCAGACATCCTCGAAAACAGAAGGGATACCGGCTGCTAAATCCGGCAACAAAACATTTCTCTGTCGGTAACATTTGAAAGGACAGCCGGAATTACGAGTTGCGAAAATATTGAAAACACGAAATTATGCCTAACAACAGCTGTGCCGCATGTTATCGATGTGGTCCCAGATGCGAAATTATAATCGTGCAGGGCTCGAACCGACAACCATGATGACCATGGCCAGCTGGTGTCGTATCCAGCTGAGCCACATAGCATGACCCGCTGGCGTGGGTCTGGTGGTCAATGCTTCGGAGCATAACGTTGTGTGGCGTGGGTCGAGCCCCTCAGCAGACAAAATCGTAATCGTACCAGACATGCAAGAAATGTCGGCTGCATGCTAACTATTACCGACAACAGCCAATAAAAACTTCGGGATGGCGACTTGTACAAGAAAAATCAAGAATTAAAATTAGAATACCCCAGTGGAATGAAGCAATGTAATATCTTAGTCAGGGCCGAGTAGGTACAGCCGTGTAATAAGATGATGCATAGCAACTTTCAACTGAGCCACATAGCAAATCGGATGCATTGGTGGAGCTATCACAAAACAGTACAATTGTGCCATGGACTCCACCATTGTAAGTCTTTCCAGTCCCAACGCAGCTTTCATCAACACCTGGTCGTGATAAGGAAGATGAATCCAACATCCGTCTGGTCCGTAAGCGTCGTGAGGTGGTGCGCTTCCAGGATGAATTCCAGCGACTGTTTCAACTGGATGACTACGAAGCTACACACGCCACGCTATTTTATCTGGTCGCTGAAACAGCTGACGAGAGCATCACAAATAGATTCTACGCGCACCAAATTGCAGTCAGTGGCAGCAAGCGATGGAAGCAGAGATGAATTCTCTGCGAAGCCACAGGAAATTCCATCTAGTGCAGCTACCGGCTGGCAAGAAACCTATTGGATGCCGCTGGTTGTTCAAGGTGAAATGTAATACGGACAGGACTGTTAATCGCTACAAGGACCGGTTGGTTGCACAAGGTTTCACTCAACGGCCGGGTATGGACTTTCACGAGACCTTTGCATCTGTCGCACGCTTGGGTACGACCCGATGCATGCTTGCAGTGGCGGTGCAGCTGGATTACGAAATACAGCAGTCTGACGTGGACACCGCGTTCCTTTACGGCAGCATGGATCAAGAAGTTGACATGCGTCATCCAGATGGCTATGAAGACGTATCTGAACCAGGTTTGGTATGTTTGCTGCAAAATGCACTATATGGTACCAAACAGGCCGCGCGGGCATGGTAGAAGACATTTTAAGACCATTTTAACAATCGAGGGTTTGAGTCCCTTAAGGCTGATCCATGCGTTTTCTCCAAGACTGTATCACGTGTTGGATTTTTGTGCGGTGATCGCTTATGTGGACGATTTGATTGTTATTGACCCGGAGCTGGACGACATTAAATTGGTGCGCGATGGACTAAAGGAACAGTTTGACATCAAGGAGATTGGTGAGTTGCGCTATTGTTTGGGTATAGAAGTGCGACGCGACCGTGCCTCACGCACATTGGAGCAAAACCAACGCGGTTATATTCGTATGATTGCCGAAGGTTTTCAGTTGGCCGACTGTAAGCCAACCGCGATCCCAGCCGACCCAAACACATCCATCACCGCAAAGACCGATGACCCCTTGACCCACCACTCATATCGAGAACTGTTGGGCTCTTTGATATACGCTGCAATATGTACGCGTCCAGACGTATCGCACGCGGAGGGGGAGGTGGACATGTTTTGCGAGACACCAAACAAGTCACACTGGCTGGCCGCACGCCGCGTGCTTAAGTACCTCGTCAAAACGCAAGACGCAGCGATTCGTTATGGCGGCGGAGATAGTGCACTCGTCGGTTACGCGGATGCCAGCTGGTCATCGGACCTTGATACTCGCCGATCCGTTAGCGGATTTTTTATGTTGTTACACGGGGGCGCCGTGGCGTGGAAATCCAAGAGGCAAAAGACCGTCTCCGCTTCTTCTACCGAAGCCGAGTATGTTGCGCTGCATTCTGCGTCTCAAGAAGTGGTATGGATGCGTCTGGGAAGATAGGACGAGCGCCAAAAGATGTGCTTTGTTTTTTCAGGACAACCAAGGTGCCATCGCCCTGGCACGCAAGCCGATTTTC